TTGATATAAACATATAAAGTGATATGAACTTTCAATCTATCGGTTGGATTTACAAAATTCACATTTAATATAAATTTATTGAGCGGTGTAATACTTAGTAAAAGTTATACCAGTGTTATTATAACCCTTCTCATTTTAAAATATATAAATTATTACTTAAACTTTTAAATTTATAATAAATAATTTATATTTTATCATAATATTAATTTTAAATAGAAATAAGTAGATTGTTAATTATAAAAGTAAGTATATATATAAATAAAGATTAATTAAATATAATATAATTATTATTAGTAATATAATTATTATATATTTATAACAGTTTAGACACACCAGAATAAGAGAGATCCAAAGATAGTATAATTATGAGATTGTATAGTTGAGAATGACTTAAATGAATTAATTTGTACTACTTATATTGACAACATGTATCTGCTTTTCTGTAGCTTATCTCATTAGAATTTCACAGTTAAGTGTGCTTGACTTGGAGTAATATAGGGATGAGTGACCCTCTGGGAAGTTTCCCATAAACTGTGTAAGTAAGGACAAAACATGCTAAAAAGTGAAGTATTGTGAAATAGAATCCTTGAGAAGAATATCAACCTAATTTGAGACGTCTAAAAAATTTAATAAAATAAAAAATAAATATTTAGCGACTGATTTAGAGGCAGTTAGTGCGATGGGTGCTGTAAAGGTCGCAATTCCAATTTTGCGACGGTTTGTACAACCCTTCCGGTAACCTTCGCAAAATTCACTCTTGACGGACATTTCTGCGACAGTTGGTGAAAAGTCACAATAGTGTCTTTGCGTCAATTCTAACCGTCGCAATGTAGGTTATATAACTGTCGCAAAATCGTCATTTTCTTGTAGTGGTTACTGGAGTTTTATGTGGATTGATTATATGTTGGGGTGAGATTGTATATATGAATAACCATTTTTCTCACCCGTATTCATTGTATTTTATTTTAGGTAAAGTTATAAGTGATGAGGGTAGCACTCAAGGTGTCGAGAGCTGAAGTGACGGGTTTGCTCTAATAATGTGACATCGGGGTAATGTGATTAAAATAGGATTTTATCTTTTCATGTTAATTACCATTTCATTTCGTATTTAAACACTATTGAAAACCTTATGTGTTATAATATTTTTATTTGGTTGGATGTTCAGAGGTGGATTACATGTGAACCTATTTTACCTGAGTTGTAAATGAATTTCTTCCTTATTTAATTATTTTATATGTTGGGGGTAGAATGAGTGTCACAAAGACCAATACTCATGTACAATTGTCCTTAAGCTAATACTCATGTGCGATTGTCCAAAGGCTATTAATGTACAATTGCCCTTAGATAATACTCATATGTGGTTGCCCGAAGGCCAATACTCAAGTGCGATTATAAAAGATTGTATACACATGATACATGTCACACATACAAGACTTTGTAATCATTTCATATCATGAACTCATCACTTACTCATGTCATTTACATAACATGTTATCTTTATGTCAATCTCATGCATACACATCATTACCATGTCAATTTCACGCATACACATCATCATCACATCAATCTCATGTATACACATCATGTTAATCTCATATCACACATTATCATCTCCTATCACATACTTGGCTCAATCAAACATATAGTTCACAAGCATAAACAAACCCTAAATGCACATAACTCATATAGCACAATAGTTTATCACGCGACATCGCAAATACATAACTTTAAACCTTAACACTTCTCATATATTATAATTACTCTGTAAAATTTCATACAACAAGTCATAAGACTAAGTCTCTCTCGATTTTCTCATGGTTTATAATTCTCTCCATTGTAATTCATAAATTGTCTTTTCTTATCTTAAGTTTTTATGACATTGTGGGTTACAATTGTGATATTCAAAGTTATATTTATGATATGAAGTTGATCTCAATTTTATTTGAAAGATAAGACCATTATCTGTAACTTCTATGTTTACCTCAAGGATTAGTTTTAACATATACTATTTTAAAAAGAACTACAAAATCGCAATGTTTAAGCCTAAATATGTCAATTTAACCTTTGCTTACTAATTTGATCATATCTTGAGTTATAGACCTCTTTTTAAGGTGATTCCAATGCTATAAGAAAACTAACGTCCAAGGTTATAACTTTTATGAATATCAGAAAAATTTATTCTGTTATTTAACTCTCTTCGTAAGGCTTACACAAAACATAAGACTTATCTTTTAACTCACATAACTTGACCATTTCTTAATATTTTTTTTATATGATTCTTGAGTTTAAACTATAGTCCCAAATGTTTATTTTCCAACCCAACAAACAAAACTCAATTTGGTTAACCATATACAAAGAGCAATCACAAAATATTATGAGATAGTTGCATACAAAATTTTAGATAACAAACATAACTTACACCAAAACTAAAAACTCCAATCCAATGCGTAGAAATCATGATTAATGTCTAAGACTACTTTATTATTCTATGAGTTATTCAAATCCAACATCAATTTCACAAAGATCATCAATTAACATCAATCTTCAACTAGTTTATAAATCAAAGGTTTCCAATAGGAACTACGGGATCACAAAGACTCACAATTAATCCAATCCAAGTGCAATTCATGTCATTTAAAATGCAAAGATCAATCATAGAGCATGTACTAATATACAAAACTCTAATTTTCATTCTACATATTGAATTGGGATCTCTCCCACAAAGCATAAAAATACAACCAATGGGGTTGAGATCAATCTCACTACCCAACAAATATCTCACACTCTAAAGTGAGATTATTCACTATCCCCTTAACTTGATTGATGCTAGACAAAAGACAAAGATCTTTGGCATGGTTTGAGTAATCTCTTCATCTTCCTCGAGAGCTCCACATTTTAGAGAAAAGAAAAATGAGAGAAACATTAAAGAATTTGTAGTCCTAAACCTTTCTAAAATCAATCTTATCTTATTTTAATTAAAATCTATATCTCTCCAAATAATTTACATAATATCATATAATTTCTCAAAACCTTCCTTAATTAAATAAAAATACAGTTAATTATTTTAAAAGTCATCATATTATTAGAAAACACATTTTATTAATTAGAAAAACATTCTTTTAGTATTTTTAGAAAATGTTGAGTGTTACATCTAACACTAATTTCGATTATTTTAGTGTTAAAATAGACAATAAAATATTAATTAAGATAATTAAAATAACAATAAAATATTTTAAATTAAGATAGCTAAATTAATTTTATTTTTGTAATTTAATTAAATTAATTTATTATTTATATAAATAAGGTAATTATATATAACTTCATTTTATAATGTATTTTTAATTTTTAATATATTATGAATTGAGATTTTTACTACATTTAATTTTATTACTTTTATCAATATTTAATCTTTATTAAATTTAATTTTATTCTTAATTTTCAATATTGTATGTTTTTAAATAATATGTTTTAGATAATTATGATATTGGTAGAAAGTATCAACTATCAAAATCAGAAACTAATTTCCATCAAAGATTATAAGCACACACAAGGCAGATATTTCTCTCTCACCTAATAACTTACTTAGACACTATAATGTATTTTAATAGTACCTTAATTTTATTGTTGTTTTTAAATATCATTTTATTAATTTTATTTGATTTGAATATAATTTATTTATTTTTATATATTACAACAAGTAATTTTGTTTCTAAAAATAAAAGTAATATATTAAAAGTAAACTATAAGTGTTTAATTAAATTATATTTTTTAAAATATAACTTTAAAAGTAAATTTATAGATTAGAAAGTAGGAACAATATTGAAAACAATAAAACTTATTGTCCATAATATGTTAAAAACTAAAAATAAGTTTTAGAAAAATTATATGTAATTATTTTATTTATTTAAAATAATAAATACACTACTTAATTAAATTATAACTGTAAAAATAATTTGGTTATCTTAATTTAAAATATTATTCATTATATTAATTAATATTTTATATTTTATTACTCATTTTAAAAACTAAATTAACTAGTGTAACATCCCAAATTTTTTACTAGTATAATGATTATTTATTATTTATTTTATATTTATGGATATTATTTTCTTATAGCTATTTTAATGGGTTTTATAGAATGTTTTAAAGGATTTTAATAATTATGACTATTTTAACTAAATATTTATGAAAATTATTTTGTAATATTTTGATTTTTAGTAGCTCAGAACGGACCGTTCCAGACTACTAAAATGGCCTAGAAAGATTAGGTTGGAATGGGTCGTTCCAACACATGATTCAGTGAGTAAACTTCGAACCTAGAACGGGCCATTTTGATTTGGGAACGGATCGTTCCAAATGTGGCCGTTGTGAGTTGAAACTCATATCCAGAACGGGTCGTCTTGATTCTAGAACGGGCCATTACAAATGCGAATTTTAGACATGAAGTATGAGTCCAGAACGGGCTGTTCCGGATTTGAAATGGGTCGTTTTGGCGACTACTGATGCTTATAAGTAGAACATTCTATCACTCTAAAAGCACATTTTTCACTTTTCACCTTTTTTTCTTCTACACTCTCTAAAGATCAAGGGGGAACCTAGAGGAGGAGACCAACAAGATCTAGCTTTAGTTTCAGCTCCTGCATATCGAGGTAAGGGGGAGTGAGAAACCTTGCTCTGGGTGTGGAAATGTATGTTGGGTAGTGGGATTGACCCTCAATCCTATGTTTGTTGTTGTTGTTGCATGCTCATGTATGAAGAGTTTTCCCTAATTATATATGTTTCTTCTATTATTTTTCCTATATTTAAATATAAATGTGTAATTTGCTATCTTTATGGGTTCCTGTGGGAAACCCTAAGGGAAGGCATTAGTAATTGTAAGAGACAAATTTTAAATGTTTATGTTTTACCTTCTGAGTTTTCTGTTGTGTTCCTTGATGTTTGCTGAGTGTAAATATGTGTCTAATTTTGAAAATAAACAAGTTTTGATATGAATTAGAGTGCTATGTAGGTTCCTGTGGGAACCCTATGAGAAACAGACATATTTCTAATATTTTCTGTTTTACTTTCTAATTGTTCTGTTGTATTTCTTGTTGTAGGAGATGTATGTATATGTATTTAATTTCGCAAATAGATGAGTTTTGATATGAATTAAAGTGCTCTGTGAAAATTGTGAATATGATGTGATAATGTGATATGACAATGAGATGTGATAATGTGATAATGTGAATATGATGATGAGACAAGACCATGTGATGTGATAATGAGACATGACAATGTGATATGAGAATGAAACATGATAACATGATATGAGAAAAGCATCGAGTCTTGATTGACATACATCATGTGCATAAATGTTTTTAAGGGTACGATATGGAATACACCGCCAGAGAAGGCCCCTAGTGTAAAAGCTTTGAGGATTAGCCCTTGGGGATAGCTCGATTTGTAAGTCTCAGTCTCGCCCATTATGTGCATGGGATGTATCTTGCACGGCTTAGCTATCCCGACGAGACTCTAGTAGTATGTCCTTCTAGTGAGAGTGAGCAGAGGTTGTGACCCGACATGTACTCCTAGACTACTCTTCGTGTATTACTAGCTGCAATATGCCATGTGATATGTTACTGGCGCCACATGCATGATAAAATGTAGTCCGTGTCCATACATGTGCATTTTAATGTTATATGAAAAATTGATATGTCTTGGATGAGTGAGATGTGATGTTATTATTAATTTATCTATGTTATACTTGTTTTGTTTGTGTTTGACTATCTGGCGTATATTTCTACACTGTGAGTCAGAGTGAGATGTTTCTCACTCCCTTTTTTCTTGTGTTGTTTTCTTTGACTGTCATACAGGTGATTATCAACATGAGACTGAGGATGTTGATGATGAAGCTTAGGCTTCTATGTTGGGATTTGCTCTGATAGAACATGTGACATCAGGTCGTAGATAGGATTAAATTAGGATGTTGTTTCTGTTAAATTATTTTGAAAACCTTAACCTTATTTCTTTTATAATTATCACTGATTATGTTATTTGTTTAAGTTATGAATGTGGTGCTCTCTATCTAAACATGTTTGGTATTTTAAAAATGAAAGACTATGGTATTTCAAATTTTATTATTTGTATTATGATATTCGGGGTAGAGGGTATCACAACTAGAGTTGATAATAAAGATTAAAAAAGAACACAAGTAACCTATTTTGGTCCTTTTCATATTAATCCCTAAATTTAACTA